CCATTTCCAAAAAAAAAAAAAAAAAAAAAAAAAAAAAACAAACTACGTATCAATATACTTTTAAATTACACACAAACAAGAACAGTGCTACAATCAAGCTCATAGAACCATATAGAAGATGGTGGAATTCTTTGGAAGATTTCCAAACCCATCAGGACACAGCGATAAAATCAGCATAATAAGCATGAAAAGGAAAGGATTAATTTATGGGCATTGGAAGCCATAAGGAACCTTCTTTCCACAGTAGTTCAAAAGCAAGCTAAGGGAAACTGGGACATTAAGTTTGAGCCCCAAGGCTTTGGCTTTGATGACGGTACAAAGGCAGGCAGCAGCTTCAAGATCAGTCAGGCCCTTGATGAGGGTGCAGCATGGGGTTTTCGGGGGCGTCCCGATCACCACGTGCACGAGACCGTCGAGCAAGTCAGCACAAACACCGAGCTTGAGAGTGTCCTTTGGGCACCGGGGCTGTGGAGGCAGCTTGGTCGAGGGAGCTCCCTTGGAGGGCTTCGATGGCGGCGGTGGGCAAGGGACGTAGGTGGAGGTGACCATTGTGAAGAAGAGGAGGTTGAGAAGAAGGGCTGATGGCATTTTGGAAGCCATTGGATGAAGAATGGGTGAAGAATGGTGAGATGAATTAGGGTTTATATAGATGGGGTTTCAGATTTTTTGAAATGGGATTTATGGTAAGGAGCAAACTTGAGGGATGAACATTGGATTGGAGAAAGATCATGAAGATGAGACTTTTTTAATTCTTTTTTTTGGATGATTTTGGCATTTTCTTAAACGATTGGTTGTCAATTGTACCATCTGTCTCAAGCATTTTGGTGAGAATCGAGTAAACGATAGTATATTGTAATAGCTTACCGTCAATAAATATTGTCTTTTTTGAGTTTTTCCTTCTGAGTTTTTCCTCAAGATTTTTAAAACGCGTTTGCTGGGAAGAGGTTTCCATACCCTCATAATAGCTCTCCGCTAGCAGATATCGTTCTATTTGAGCTTTTCTTTCTCGATTTTCTCCCAAGATTTTTAAAACAAGGATGTTAGGGAAGAAGTTTTCGCACCCTTATAAAAAATGCTTCGTTTTTCTCTCCTACCGATGTGAAATCTTACATATATTAACGAGAATCAAAGCTAGAGTCCAATGAGAGCGGTGGGTTTTAGATTATTTTGTCTTTTGTTTTTTTTTTTTTTTATCTTGAAGTTCCTTCTCGTGCCTTTTTTTGTTTAGTTTAATAATATTGGGTAGTGAAGATTCAAATCTGTGATCTCTTAATGCAGAATATATATCTTAATGATCGAGTTATATACTTAAATTGACTAATTACTCATTTTCGAAATTGTATCGTTTTAGAAATGATTAATAACATAAGTGGTTCTTTTACAAGTAAAATCAATAAAATAGCTCGAGATTTTTCTCTTTTTAAATCTTTTAATTCACAATTCTTTGTTATAAAGAGATAAAAACCTCACATGTTTTGTAATTCGTTATAACATATAAAAACATAATATGTTTTGTAATTCATTTTTTGATTTTTATTGATTTGTTTTTACAAAGAAAGGATGTCGAAATACCTTTCAAAACCCTAATTTTTCCGTTATCTAAAGCCTCTGTCCAAGTATGTCCTGACACTTCTTACTTCTAAGAGTGAACACCATCCCTATAAACTAGCCTCAGTTCGTTCAAGATGCATCATTCTCACCTAAAAAAGACTTTTAAACATATGTTAGTCATCCTATCTTCACAATCGCTCTCATACGAATGTGGTCTCAGTTTATTCATATACCTCTTTTTTATTCGGGTGTCAAAAGTTCTGAAGTAGTGGCGTGCAGGTGGGAGTCCCAATCAGCTTGAGATGTCTAAATCAGAAGGCATGTGATCACTTTGATATCTGTTTCTTGGCAGTGACCAATATATAAAATTTAATGCAACTTTGCCAAATATAAAATTTCCAACTTTAATACTTAAGAGGTTGCATTGATCAATGGAAGCACATGGGTTGGGACCTCTCTTTTCATTTGCATCAAAGCTTCCATCTCGTTTTTCTCATGCTTCATCCAATCAGGATAAAAAGAAACTTAAAAAGTATTGATTCGAGTACGATTGTCTTCTTGTAACTTAGTTAAATCTTTCGAATGTTTATAAACGTGGGTGATACGCTCACAAGGTATGTCTGTATATATCAAGTATATTATAACTGAGATCTGCTGAAGTTTCCTAGTGACGAGTTATTTAGTTCTATCGGTTTGGTTTAGCTCGATCTAACTAGTCTTATTGGTTTTGACCAGCCTGGTTTAGTTCAACCAATTCGATCTTGTTTGACCTATCCAACTCGTTTTATATGGTTCCTTTTGGTTTGATTTTTAGGTTTGAGCTAGCCTTAATGGATGTCCAAGAAATTATTGAACATGTTACTATAATGCCCAAGGAAATGACGTTACTATAATGCCCAAGGAAATGACGGATACGGGAATAAACTTATGTCATATTCGAACAAATAAGATGTATCTTCCTTTTTATTGACTAAAATTAAACTAGCGTTATGGTTACTTGGAACAATTCTTATTATTATCATTCAATGGTTATGTGAGTACAATTATCTTAAAAAAACTCCAAATTAAAGTTCAGATCAGATTCACCATTAACGCGAAACGATATAATACCCTCGAAGTCATTCATCTATCAATTTTGTGGCATAAACCTTTTATTCAATTACTCTTTGAAATATAAAGACCAACCTATTAAACAACATTAAAAACTAAAAAACAGACAATTTTCAATCCTTTAAACCAAATTTGTAATGTAATCGGTTTCTAATTTACTTAGATCAACTCAACCCGAACATTATATAACACAAAATGATAACTTATTGAATCATTCATTATCCATCATTGATGGCAGAAAGTCTTCAGAACCTCATTATAAGAATCAAAGTGTAGAACGTGATTTACACAATGCCAAAGAGAGATTTCAGAACAGGCAACAAAATCCATTTATTTTGATGCATAGCAAATTCCAAAGGCATATAATTCAACAACGATTTGTATCTGAAAAGACAGTACCAAAAGGGTCCATTCAGCGTGAGGCCGCCTATCTAAGCTTCTGGTTCTCCACCAAGCTCCACTCTTAGGTTGTCATACGGATACACTTTCGGAGCCTGATTACAAGGGTGATCAAGTTTATTATCAGTCATCTTAACAATGCTAAATTCATCCAAGAAAATACTGCTGAATTGATATGAAAGAAGAAAGAAAAGAGAAGTCTTTATAATGCATCAAGGAAAAGAATCCAGGGGCCATTGCAAGCTGTTTTCGTGCAGTTATAGATGGGAAAACTTGCATCTTCAAAAAGAGTTGAACCGTAAACTACGTTTTTTATTCAGTTTCATTTTCGTAAGGCAGTCACAGGAACACGGCCAATAGTTCGATTTCTATGCAAATGTCAAGAAAGCATAATGACTGAAAAACACCATAGTATACAAAGCCAGGCTATACAAACAACCACAGCAAGAACATATAATAGGTTTCATCCCTTGAACCCCTTAAGATGTTTTCTCTGTGGAACCTATATTTGGATGAAACACTTGCCCGTATATTCCTTTTTTCTAAAGTATAAGAAAATATTTGCACTCTTAGTCAAAAAAATATGTCGTAAGTAGTTAAGCTATAATCAAGTCGAAAACATTTGCCTATATGTCCATTTCCTTTTTCACAAAGAATTCCTCCTAAGAAGATGAAGTTTTCTGGGGAGAGGACTGACAGGTAGCAGCCCTCTCAAACTTTCCTTCCAAAGACTTGACAATGTAGCGAAACCAAAGCAGTTCATCTCTTTGAGAAGGATAACAGTAGAAGAAACACAGTCCTCAAATACAATCAAAGCAGTTCATCTCTTTGAGGAAAGATTAGATTATGAATGCAAGAGGCATAAAATATGTCGAACAGTACCTCTCTTTTGAAGACGTACTTAAACCCCAAAAAAGATCTATTTCTTTCCAACCAAAGGCCTACTTTAACCCAGAAAGATGGCTTCGAGGAATGGAACCACCACTTCCTTTTGGCATGACAGATGACTTCAAGGAGCTCCTTTGACAGAATGTTCTCCTCAACTCGACTCTATACCTGACCAGAAGTATGTGACTGTGAAAGATGGGTGGAAGCCCCCAGCTTATTTTTAGGAACTTATGCCTCAGGTGCAACTTGAAGGATGAGGAAATTCTGGACTGGGCTAATATCAGCCACTTGCTTTATTCTAATCATTTAACACAATCTGAAGATATGTGGGCTTGGAATTAGGAAAAAATGGCCCCTTTTATCAAATCCTTGCTGTTGGATTGGAGTCCAACGTTAGAAGGAGATCTTTTCTAGCATCCAAAGGCTATCTGGAGTGACATTTACCCAAAAAGATCAGAATTTTCCTTTGGGAGCTCTCTCACCATGGCATAAATACTGATGAAAAAGTACAACGAAGGTTAGTATGTATGGTTCATTTTTAAGGGGAAAAAAGAGAGAAGCTGAATTTCATTGATAAAATGAAATGAAAAGGGAAGTTAATAGACTTGCAAGGCCAATAGGTGGATGACAAGAAAGTTCTCCAATTTAAAAGAAGAGAGGAAAGAGTATAATTGGTAAAAGGGTGTTTTGTCATTGAAGGTGTGCACATTTCTCTCCAGCTAAAGAGTCTAAAAGGAAGTTCTGTTGATCACAAGCTGAAAAGTTTTTCTATCACCTTGAGAAGGATGTCTCGCAGAAATAGAAGCCAATAGATCATGAATTGTGCTCTGTATAACCATATTGCAACCAAATGCTTGGAACATAAAAGTCCAATACGTGGAGGGTTAGTACAATGGTGGAGATCTATGGTGAGGTTTGTGGGTGAAAGAATACTTTCTTTATTAGGGCAAAAAGGAATACAGGAAGGAAGCTTTCAATAAAGATGCTTCCTTTTTTGTCAGATTCTCTTATCTCATGTCTTCACAGTTGGAAAAATGGAAGAGTTGGTCGGTAGTGGGTTCAATTTTAGCTTTTGTCTTCCCAGCCATCAGACATGTCAATATCAGCTAAAAATGGTTTAAGTTCTCAGAATATTAGTTGGACTACAACCTTCCTTTTTTTACGCTCTTTTAGAAGCTGATTTTGACGTCTATGACAGGTAGCCAAGTGTATTCTAGCAACCAGGTGAAGTGTTTCAACCTGCAAAGAGTGGGTCCCCTTTGGTTTCCAAGAGGGCGTGTGCAGCTCAGATAAATCTTCTAAATCAGGCTCTTTTTTCAGAGGAGACTATGCTGGGCAAAAAGAAAAGAAGGCCCAATTTTCTGTAGACTGGAGAAACTATAGTGTGTCCTAACATCGTTTCTAATGCATCTGTCAACAATTACGATCAGCTTTTGTTTGTGGCTGCATCTCCTTGCACAATCCTCCTCTTGCATTTCTTATTTTCACCTCCTTTGTGTCCCTTCGTCCCCCTTGGTACCCTTCTATTTGCCTCTCTCTGGAAGGTTAAGATCCACCAGAAGGTAATATTCTTTGTGTGGCAGGTATTACAGGGGAGGATTGCCATCGGAAGCCTTCTTCCTTCTTGCTGAGTACTCAGTGGAGGACCTTATGTATTGTAGACAGGTTCTGAGTACCTTAACAATTTTCTATAGAGTTGTCAGATTGCCAACTCGCTTTTGAACAATTTTTTTGGGTCATTTAGGACTTGTAGGTA